TTCCTCCGCCTCCTGCCTTGCTCTCGCCGCGGCCTCCGCGAGGGCCCTCATTTCGTTCTCTTCCTGCGCTGTCGCCTCAGCCTCCTCTTTCGCCTTCGCCTCGGCCTCTGCAATCGCCCTGGCGTCAGCCTCCTCTTTCGCCTTCGCCTCGGCCTCTGCCAGCGCCCTGGCTTCAGCCTCCTCTTTCGCCTTCGCCTCAGCCTCTGCAATCGCCCTGGCGTCAGCCTCCTCTTTCGCCTTCGCCTCGGCCTCTGCCAGCGCCCTGGCTTCAGCCTCCTCTTTCGCCTTCGCCTCGGCCTCTGCCAGCGCCTTGGCCTCCTCTTTCGCCTTCGCCTCGGCCTCTGCCAGCGCCCTGGCTTCAGCCTCCTCTTTCGCCTTCGCCTCGGCCTCTGCCAGCGCCTTGGCTTCAGCCTCCTCTTTCGCCTTCACCTCGGCCTCTGCAATCGCCCTGGCTTCAGCCTCCTCTTTCGCCTTCGCCTCGGCCTCTGCCAGCGCCCTGGCTTCAGCCTCCTCTTTCGCCTTCGCCGCCTCGGCCTCTGCCAGCGCCTTGGCTTCAGCCTCCTCTTTCGCCTTCGCCTCGGCCTCCGCCAGCGCCCTGGCTTCAGCCTCCTCTTTCGCCTTCGCCTCGGCCTCTGCCAGCGCTTTCGCCTCGGCCTCCTGTTGAGCTCTCGCCTCGGCCTCTTCCTTTGCTCTCGCCTCGGCCTCCTCCTGGGCCTTCGCCTCGGCCTCAGCCTTCATCTTCGCCTCCTCCTGCGCCCTTGCCTCTGCCTCTGCCAGCGCCCTCGCCTCGGCCTCCTCCCGGGCCCTCGCCGCTGCCGCCGCCAGTGCCAACGCTTCGGCCTCGACCCTCGCCTTCGCCTCGGCCTCCTCCCTCGCCTTGGCCTCCGCAGCGCTCGCCGCAGCCTCCTCCTCCGCCGCACGCCTCGCCTGCTCCTCCTTCTCGGCCTTGTCCGTGGCGGCCCGCCACAGAGTCTGCAGCTCCTGCTGCGCGGCCTGGTCGGCCTCCTCCTGCAGCTGCGCCCGTCTCTCCGCCGCCGTGTCCTCCCCCAGCGCGCAGCCGGCGGCTGCCCCGGCGCCCTCCCCCTCGCCGCCCTCGGCCTCCGCCTCCGCTTCCTCCTCCGCTTCTTCCTCCTCCTCCTCCTCCTCCTCCTCCTGCGCGGCTTCCGCCTGGGCCTCCGCCTGCTGCTGCGGGGCGGGGCTCGAAGCGGCCGCGCCGGTGTCCCCTGCCTTCTCGTCTTCCTCGTCCTCCTCTGCATCCACCACCACCCCTGCCTGGTCCGCCTGCCACCTCTCGCACGCCTTGCGGTTGGCCTCCTCCACCTCCAGCCGGCGGAGCCTCGAGGCCTCGGCGGCCTCCGCCTTGGCCTTCCGCTTGGCCTCCTGGGCCTCGAAGCGCGCCACCGCCGCGACGGCCTTCTCGGCCTCCCTCTCCTCGATGGCCCTCTGCTTGGCCTCCTCGCGCTCTTGCCTCTTCGCCTCCTTGGCGTGGAACGCCGCCTCCTCGGCCTTCTTCTTCTCAAGTCTTTTCTGCTTCTGCTCTTTCTCCTTCTCCCTCTCGAGGCGCAACTTCTCCTTGTGCGCGCGGGCACACGCCTGACGCACACGTGCACGCACTCAGATGCTCCCAACTTGCTGTCTTGCAACCCACACCATTTATGTAGGAACAACTAATATCTTGCGCATTGGTTTCAAGAGCCGTGGGCAACTGCATCTCCGCCTGGATCATCCGCGGTTGCCGAATGGACTGTTGCTTGGCGCCCGCCAGCAGATTTTACAATTTACCGGGAAAGTCAAGATTGCTGGGGACAGGAAGAGAAGCGTAGAACACAGGACAGCTATAAATACATATGCACACATGACGAACATGTCCCCCGATGTTTTCCTTGCTGCGGAAGCAGCTGGTGGGCCATGCAGTCGAGCAGCTGAGCTCAAGCCAAACTTCGGTCTACATACGTTGGACAGGGCCGGCGGCCACTTACCACAAGCGTCTCCGACTACATTCAAAACGGTATGTTGTGTTTTGCTTCGAGCGATCCCCACCACAGAGTTCCACTACATCGTGATCTCTGATCCCAAAACATGTGGTTGGCGTATGCTGCTGGTGTATGTTCATGTTGTAAGTTCTTGGTTCTGTATGTATATGATGGCTGGTGTTGGGGCCTGTACTTGATGTGTGTGATGAATGTGTGCAAAACAGTGTTTGATATTGGCGGAAATCAATGATGGCTGTTTTTGGTAGCGGCCTTGGTGCATGCTATTGGACACTATGTCCTAGGGTTGATGCGTGTTTCCGGTGTAGCTAGAATGCCTGTTCTGTCGTCTGTTACTGATGTATGTTCCTAGCGTGTTTGTTTTTGTTGGCGGCTATTGATGTCGGCTGCGGGTGTCTGCTCTTGATGTATGTTCTTGATGCTTGTTCTTGATGTGGGCTGTCGGTGTGTGTGATATGTATCACTGAATTGTTTAGGATATGTGTGTTAGCCGCTTGTGTATATTCATAGTTGATGTTCCCGGTGTATGTTCTTGGCGAACGTTCTTGCCTTCTGCTCGCAGGCTCGCTGAATCTGTTCTACATTGGCGGCGTGACGCCGTGGCGCTTTCCTGTTGGGGCTGCCTCTTGCTGACGCCTGTTCTCTTTGCTTGTCCAACGTATCGTCATTGGACCCCTGAGTTAGGAGGCAACTACTGGGAGGTCCTCCTCGAAAAGATTGAAGAGGATTAAGCCCCATTGGGGGCTCTTGAACCGGAGTGGGCCTCGGATTAAGCGGGATTAAGCCGGATTAAGCGGGATTAAGCGGGATCAAGCCGGATTATGCGGGATTGAGCCGGATTACGCTGGACTTCGGACCAGGGCAAAATCAGAATTTGACCTCCCAGGAGTTGCATCCGAACCTGGGGGTCTGGGAGGCCTGGCGTCCGCGGTGCGCAGGGCGGGCATAGCGGGACACTCGAGGACCGCCCCGATTCTTGGAGCCCGGCGGCCACGGTGCGCGTGGCGGGCGAGGCGTTCGGGAGGTGGCCCCCTCCGAAATCTATAACAGCCCCGAACTGTCGGGCGGGGACACATGAAGCCCGTGCCGGGAACGGGGCACGTCTGCGAGCCAACGGCGGATGTTTCCGAGCGGCTTCGCATCATGGGCAAGGCCTGCGAGTGCAAGATGTGGGTCCAACCCGTTTGGTCCAGAAACCTGACGTGTAAACCCGCCAACCCTATGGGGTCCGAGGTGCCTTAAAGCGTTTCCTCTTCCGTCTTCTCCCTTTCCCCCCTTCTGGCAGGGGCTTGATCTGCTCCTGATTATGAATGCACACCCCCTCCCCCACTTCTCCGGCGACAAACTGGGTGAAAGGCAACCCCACCCCGTCATCCCTGCCAAAAACAATACAGCATGCGGTTGTTGCGCCAAAGTCTACATCATGTTCGGGCGCCCAGCGACCAATTTAATTTGCATAGTTTCTTCACAAAGACGACGGGGGAGGGAGCATCATACCTGGTGTTTGCAGGCCCACCGAAACAGTGCAAATCGCATGCTGCCGCAAACTGTTGGACCATGCGCGGGCGCCCAGCGATCATTTTCTTATTTGGCAGAAGTGATGGGGGTGCCCTGGCACGCGCGGTGCATCTCGCGGGCGTCATGCACGTGGTTGGCCTCTGCATTGGTTCTCGATTGTTTTCGATTGCGGCTCCTGTACATGCTAAGACTGGGCTGCAAATTGTGTTGGGAGTGCGGGCGTGAGTGACCTCCCCTCGGGTTTGGACGGCGGGGGGGGACGGCGGCGACGGGTTCGAGCGTCCCAATATGGCCTCATCGAGAAGGCGAACATCAGACTGACTATCACCATTTGGGCCAATGTGGCCCTCCTGGGAGGCCCTTTCCCCGTTCCTCTTGCCCTCTCCCTTCTGCAATGCCCTGCTGCGGAGGAAAGGGCCGGAACACCACGGTGTGCGTTGTGTGTTCTTGGTGTATGTCTACATATGTATGTGTGCATGCATGTATTTATGTATATATGTATGTTCACGTTGTGCAGACATGCGCTTATATGTATGTATGTATGCATGCATGCATGTATGTATGTGCGTGCATGTATGTATCTACGTATGTATGTAAATATGTACTTGTATATGTATGAATAGGTGCGTGCATGCATGTATGTGTATATGTATGCATGCATTTGTGTATGTATTTAAGTATGCATGCATGTGTTTGTTTATGCATTCATGTATGTAGGTACGCATGCATGCATGCATGCATGCATGCATGTATGTATGTATGTATGTATGTATGTATGTGTGTGTGTGTGTATGTATCTGTGTGTAACATCGACGGGCAACACTCCGACGTACACTCTGGTATGTATGTATGTATGTATGTGTGTGTGTGTGTATGTATCTGTGTGTAACATCGACGGGCAACACTCCGACGTACACTCTGGTGATGGGTGTACTCACCAGACAAAGACAACTCACGTTAATCTGTTCAACACGGGCCACGTTTAAGGTGAGATCTGGCCTCCTCGGGTGCAAGCCCTTCAAAGACTTGCTGCATGTTCTTTTTTGCCGTGGCGGGGTAACTCATGAACACACTTAACCGACAACTTATCCTTCTTCGCGGATCCTGGTGCAAACAACAACCACACCCCGTGCACAACAAAAAACACAAGAACAGCCACCTGATCCGCAATACTTCATGCTGCGGACGGGCGGCTTCGGCAAGATCAGTCCCGCCCTCTCCGCTACTCAGGCCAGGAGGAGGTTCAGCGGTCGAACGACAACCATTGAAACAGACAGGGCCACTCCCGAGCCTCGAATGCCACACCCACGGATGAGGTGGGGCCATTTCCCGAAGCTCCTGATCCCGAGGGGCCTTCTGCTCTAGCCACAACCGTCAAGATCTGGGAACGGCGCCAGAAGCAACCTAGCGGCAGCGAGGTGGCAGACAATTTTTGAGATTGCGACGATGCGGTCGACCATATAATGCTCACCCTGAGAGGCCCTGGGGTGGAGGAGAGCCCCAGGCCGAGGACCTGGCTCAATCAAATCGAGGTGGGCTTCAACCTTGATGGCGCTAGCCAAACACCGCTTTGCATGAACATGCAGGAGCACGCGTGTTGTGAGGAGGGGAGAACGAGGATGAGAACGAGGAGGAGGTTTGTCACCAGCACAACGTCTTCCTCCCACTCCTCCCCGCCCTTTTTCTGCGCGGTGTCCGCGGCTTTCGCCTTTGCCTTCGCCGCCGCGTCTTTGTCCTTCCCAGGGGGGGGGGGCGCAGGAGCGGCGGGACACATCGCGCTGCCGAGCCAATGACCCCAAGCCCTGGAAGGGTACGTCCGTGAGCCTTGCGAAGGCCTAGCGAGTGGGATTGCCCCCCCCCCCCCCCTCTCCCCCCCTTTTGGTTTGTGAGCGTGGCATGTTGGTGGGTGACGGTGCCCTTCACCCCCTGTGGGTGTGGGGTGGTTCGTCGTCGTCGCCGTCGCCGTCGTCGTCGCCGTGCGTCGTCGTCGTCGGCGTCGTCATCTTCGTCGTCGTCGTCGTCATCGTGGTTGTCGTGATCGTCCGCCGGCGTCGGCGTCGTCGTCGTCGTCCGTGGGCGTGGGCGTGGGCGTGGGCGTGGGCGTGGGCGTGGGCGTCGTCGTCTTTCTCCCCATTTCCCCTTAAACCAGATCTCAACCACCTGGGACTGATTTCAACCACTGGAAACGCACTGATCCCAACGTGCAGAATTCCTACAACTCCTACAATGCGAACGGCTGATTGCAACCATGGAAGCGTATTCGAAATACCAAGCTCGCTTACCAAGCACCTCCGAGAAAGCGCCTCCTCGATTTCGTGACAGACTCCCGTGGATGCCTCTTGCGTTTCGTGGGGGATTCTTGCGGGTGTCTGTTGGGTCGCTGAGATAACTGAGGACTGAACATTCCTGAAAATTCTTGACAATTCCTGAAGATTCCGGATGGATTCCTGAAGGATTCCAAAAATGGATTCCTGAAGATTCCTGAACGATGCCTGAGGAGTCCTGGGGATTCCACACAGATTCTTGGAGGATTTCTGCGCGATCCCTGAGGATTCACGAAGGAGTCCTGATGAGGCCAAACATCCCAGAGGGGTTCCTCAGAATTCTTCAGATTCCTGAAGCGTCCCGTAGGATTCCTTTAGTTTCTGCAGGGGGCCCGGAGGATTCCCCAATGAGGGTGTCTCATGGAATCCAGATTGATTCCTTATTGGCTTATTGGGTTCCGGAGGATCCCTGCGGATTCCTAAGGGTTTCCTAAAGATTTCTGCAATATTCCAAGAAGATTCCGAAAAGGATTCCTCGAAAAATCCCAAACAAAAATCCTGAAAGATTCCTGATCGATGCCGGAAGGCTTCCTGAAGGAATTCATCACGATTCTAAGCGAATTCGTTGTGGATTCTGAACATTTCCTGGCGGATCCCTGGAGAAGCTCACGCTTCGAGCAGATCCCCGAAGATTCCTCAGGGAATCCTGGCGGACTCCTGAAGATTCGTGCGATTCCTGAAGATTCCTGAAGGACTCCTGCGCGCTCCTGAAAGATTCATGAAAATCCTTGCGAGTCCGGACGGTTCCTGAGGATTCCGGATGAACTCCGGAAGGCTTCCTGGAGGATTGATTGCGTCGGAATTCCTGAAGATTCTTACAGGAATCCTGCGTTTTCCTAAAAAAGACTCGTCAGGATTCCTACAAAAGGAATCCTGGCTAGGGGGAGCAGGACGAGGACGAGGAGGAGAAGGATGAAGAAGAGGACCAGTGCTAACCCAAGGCTCATTAAAGATGTTGGAATCGCCCCTCCCTTCAAACTCCCTCTTCATAGGCCCCATACAAGATTCATTTCCACGAAAGAAAACTCCACGTTGGGAAACAACCGATTGAAAGTCCTGACGCGTGCCAAAACATCATTCCCGGGACTCCAACGCCACGAATCAACTGGACTGTTGCGTCTTGACGATCCTGGATTGTGCCAAAAAAAAACATTGTTGGGACGTCAACACAACGAATCAACGCAACTGTCCCGCCTTGACAATTCTGAACCGCTCCAACGCAAAATTTCTGGTACGTTATCCATGGCAACTCAAGTTTTAAGAAGAATGTGCACGGCGCTATAACGAGAACTAGACTTTGAAACTCTTGCAATTCCTTGTGAGGGATGTGCGCTGCACGAAGGTGAGATCCACAATTAAAAAACTGCCCGCCCGCAATCTGCAAAACTCTTGTCGTTCCTTGAAACTGATCTGCACGGCGCCCAAGCGAGAACCACATTTCGAAAACGACCCGCCTTCATTCCGTGAAGCTCTGGCACATGTTCAAAACGAGTGCGCGCGGCGCAAATGCGAAAACCACATTTCGGAACTGGCCGGCCCTCCATCTGTGAAGCTGTTGCCAACATCAAAGCTTCAGGATCATAAATGATAAAGAAACCTTGAACGAAACGCCCGGCCCGCCCTGCCGACTGGCCTCGGGATGCTACGCTGAAGAGCTTCTACAAGGAAAAGGAATGGAGGAGGAGGAGGACCCCCCATGCATTCGTATGTGTACCTGACGCAACCTGGCAGAGCAGCAGGACCTCCCTGGTCCAATCCCCATCACTTCCACGTCCTCCGCCTTGACGGGCCAAGTGTTCAGAGTTCAGCAAGGCCTGACTGTGCCAACCCGATGTGGGTGGATGTGATAGAGGCCTTTGCTCCAGGAGTGCAGCATCGCTCCAAAATGTGCTGCGAACGGCGCCTGCAGGGTGGGTCCTTTCCTTTTCTGTGCAAGTTAGTTTTCTTGGAAGCGCCTTCTGACCAAATCACCCGAGTCCGTTGTTTTATGCTCGCATGGGTGTGTACCCTGCCCCCTCTTGTCCCACTTCAGCCCTCCCCACGACCTCTTGAGAGAACCACTTAGGTTCTCAGGAATATGCTTGGGCATTCCCGCAACAGTGCTTGCACTTAGCGCCGCCGGCTTCGTGGCTCGTCGCCGACGTTCCATTGCACAACATAGGTTGCACCGCACATTTTGCACCACGTATATTGCATAACAGAAGCTGCACCACATACCTTGCACACCATAGATTACACAACACTGATTGCGCCAAAAGAGTGAGCAACATTGATGGCACCACATAGATTGCGACACGCGTATTGCACCGCTCAGATTGCATCACGTCAGATGCACCGCGTAGCATGCGCACCGCGTAGACTGTACCACAGATATTGCACTATAAAGGTTGCACCACATAGACTGCACACTTCGTAACGCAATGGACCACATGTATTGCACAACGTAAATTGCACAAAATAGATGTAAGAATCCGTCGATGATCGGCCCGATCGCAACTGCTTTTCCGAAATTCCCCTTGGGGGCTTAAAGGAAGCCACTGCGTCCAGAAGCGCTCTTGAAAGACTTCTCTTAACCATCGGGCTGGGGAGGCCTATGGAACCCTGGGGCCCATCCTATCTGGGGAGGGGGAGGCGGGGCCAAGAAACCCTCGACGGGCGATCATATATGCCCCAGATCCCCGATAAGGGAAATCAAGATCCCCCACGGGGAAATGAGCCTGGGCCCGCCCCCCCCCGGGCCTGGAACCCATGCTATATGTGTATATATACATATACATAGACCTATATATGTATGTATGTATATAAATATATATCTATATCGAAGATCATGCATATCGAAGATCTTGTTGTCAAGATTAGGCCCTCACGGGTAATTGATTCGTCCAACAATTTTAGGACAACAGAAATGAAATCTGGGCACTGTGTGGGGCCGGTGGTGCGCCACGGTGAACTTGCATCTTGTCACTCTTCTGATCGCCCAGTGGTCAGACTGGAATGAATTGTCTTCGTACTCCTCCTCGCTAGCCTCCTTGTCCCGTTGCAGAAATATTGGCGGGATGGACGTTGCGCCTTAGCGATCGTGCGGAAAAAAAGAAAACAAATGCGTGATCACAAACAACATCTGACGAACAAACCAGATCCTGGATCCTGCTGGGTCCTCGATAGTTCCCAAGGGGGCGGAGGGGGAGGATTCGGCGGCGGAGGAGGGAGGGAGGGAAGGAGGGAAAGAGGGCGGAGGAGGCACAGCGTCGGAATGCAGGTGACTCTATTGCTTTACCGCCGCTCCCGCCTCTCTCGCCCGAGAAGAAGCTCGGCTGCATGGAGCGCGCCAGCGGCGATCGTGAGGGCTTCGGAGGGTTCGAGAAATCGAAACTCTGGGCCACGTCGACTACGCTCGCACTGGAGCAGTCGGTGGAACTGGAACTTTGTGACAATGTACTTCAAGTGCGAGGGCTCCGAGCCTCGCAGTCCAAGCCTGATTATGGGATCGCGCTCGAACAAGACGAGGAGAGCGTGCGCGAGTGTGAAATTGAAGCAAGGGCACCAACCGCCGAAATGCGACAAGCAATCTTTCCTCTGTCTGCTCGTTTGGCAGGACGAGGAGGAGGAGGAGAAGGAGGAGGAGGAGGGAGAGGAGGAGGAGGAGGAGGAGGAGGAGGAGGAGGAGGAGGAGGAGGAGGATGATGATGATGAGGAGGAGGAGGAGGAGGAGTGTGAGGAGTGGGAGGGGGGGAGAGGAGACCCTCCTTCCTCTTTCTGCTTGTCGGGCCACGCCGGTCGCCCCCGACTCTCCACCCCGCTCCGCCAAGGCCACGCTGGGCCAGGGCAGTGACCTAGTACGTGTCGCCGATGCGCCCTGGTGAGCCTCATGACTCATGACCCGCCTCCTGGGGGCTCAACGTCGCTCCATCATGGTCAGCACCTCTAAGCGCGAGCAGCGAGCCCGACGAGGCTTGCCGCTGAGAGACCTTCCTCCTTCTCCTTCCCCTCCTCCTCCTCCTCCTCCTCCTCCTCCCCCTCCTCCTCCTCCTCTTCCTCCTCCTCCGCCTCCTCCTCCTCCTCCTCCTGGTCCAATCCAGCCAGCGGCCGCACCTGACCCAACAGCGCAGGACACATCCTATCGGAACTGCTCAGCACCAAGCGCGAAGAGCGTTGCAGGCCCGCCTCTGCAGCTTCTCTGGCAATCAGGTGGTCACTCGAGGATGAGGAGGGGGATGAGGGGGAGGAGGCGGACTGACCTAGACCTCCAGCGTCATGATTCTTGAAGACGCTGGCCCTAAGAACACTTGACAGCAACCCCTGCCACTGGTTTCTCGTTGTGGGTGAAGGCCCCTGGAGGCCGAACTCACGGAGAACGCGATTCGTTGTTTTTTCTTGGGTGAATTCCGGGAAGCATGAGCCTCCCCTCTCTCCGACTCGCCCGCCAGACCTGTCGTGGACTGCGTTAGCGAGGAATTTCAAGCAATTCCCGCAGTAGCGGCGAGGGCCACCACGGAGGCCCAAACCATCTAAAAGCTCGACAATATTTCCCTCCTCCTTCTCCTCCTCCTCCTCCTCCTTTTTCCTCCTCCTTCTCCTCCTCCTCCTCCTCCTCCTCATCCTCCACCACCTCCTCCTCCCCCACCTCCTCCTCCTCCACCTCCTCCTCCTCCTCCTCCACCTCCTCCTCCTCCTCCTCCTCCTCCTCCTCCTTCTCCTCCCTCTGGAGGAAGAGTTTCGTCGTCCTCCTCAGGCGCACGATCGATTTTTGGACTCGAAAGCGCCTCCTCCTCCTCCTCCTCCGCCTCCTCCTCTCCTCCTCCTCCTCCTCCTCCTCCTCCTCTCCTCCTCGTCCTCCTCCTCCTCCTCCTTCTCCTCCTCCCCCTCTTTTCCTCCTCCTCCTCCTCCTCCTCCTCCTCCTCCTCCTCCTCCCTCTGGAGGAGGAGCCTCGTCGTCCTCCCCAGGCGCACGATCGATTGGGGGACTCGGAAGGAGTGAGGGTAATGCGCGGCGGGCGCTCCTTCTTCGCGGCGGTCGTCTTAGGGTCCTTCGCCTTGTCTTGAGGAAGCGCGGGCACGATCTTGGAGACGGTCTTGGCCTTCTTGACCTGTCTCGGCGGCGAGCGAGCGGGGGGAAGTGAAAAGGAGAAGGCCTTCTCAGAAGGTGGCGGGGCTGCTGAGAAGCCATCGCGCCTTCTAAGACATTTTCTGTGCCTTCGCGGAAGGCTCAGGAAACATCCGAGAAGGCTGGGGACTTCCCGAGCCCTCTGAGAAGGCCCGCCCCTTCTCACTTCCCCCCCAGACTCGCCGCCGACTGTCCAGGGCCGCCCTCCAGGATACAACGACAACAAACATAGCAACGTCTGAGCTCGACACTTCCTTGTGCACGGGGCACCTCGTAGGGGTCCTGAGCGCAATGACGCTGATGCCTCGGCGCCTCGGCTCACGAGGATCATCAAACTCATGACCGACACGTCCGCCCCTGCTCTGCGCTTGCCCCCTCTGGTAATTCCCCGCCCTCCCCCCCCCGCCCTGTCATCCCCTGCCTGATGGAGAGGCGGGGAGACTGCGATGTATTGCCTGGCCGAACCCCCCGTCCCCCATTACTGTCCTGTTCCCCTGCTCTTGCGGGACAAATGGAACTTGTATCGCCTGATCTGTGAACCCCATGCCGTACAAAGCAGCATAAGCTAGCGCAGACTCCAAATATGTCAGATGCCTGAAATGAAATGGACTAGAAACGACTGGGGTAGACTGGATCGGACTGGGATAGACTCTACTCCACTCCATACTAGTCGTTTCGTCTCTACTACAATATACCCTACTCTTCTCTAAAATCTACATTCCTCTATCCAGCCCTACTCTACCCTACCCTACCCTACTCTACTGTACTCTACTCTACTCGATTCAAACGTACTCTCCTCTCCTCTCCTCTCCTCGCCTTTACTCCACTCTGCTCTGCCCTACCCTACTCTGCTCTATTATCGACTTTACTCTTCCATCTACCCTACTGTACTCTGCTCGAGTCTGCTCTTCTCTACCTTGATCTACTCGACTCTGCTCTACTCTACCCTTCCCTGTCCTGATGCTTCATCTATATCTGCTCCCACTCTGCCGCAAAACTGGCCGAGAGGGGCTGGATCCTGGTGGCTACATCCTGCCTGTCAGCAACACAGTACATAATCAATCTGTTCGTACTACCATGGGCATTCGTAGATCGTCCATGTTGTAAGATGCGTGGCAGGAGCGGGACGGGGCGCGCATCCCGCGCGACAAGCCGAACTGTGCCCTCCCTTCGGCGCGGCGGTCATGTTTTTAACCAATTGAGCTCCCGCTTGGGCGCGACGCGTATCGTTCGCACGCATCTTCGTCGACGCGCGAGCGAGCGAGCGAACCTGTGGCTCCCGCGTCGGCGCAATGCCCATTTCGCCTGGCAGTGGCGCTGCCGCTTCGACGCCGCGTATGCCTGTCGCTCGCCAATCTTGCGGGGCCCGCGCGAGTGGGCGACTTGCCGCCCTCGCCCGAGCCCCGTGCGCATTTCGCATGGAGCCTGCGTTGCAGCGCGGGCGCGGCGCATGGCTCGCGCGCCGAATCGCATGAGAACGACAACGGCCGCGGGGCCGCGCGACAACGGGCGTGATTCCGGCCTCGCCCAGGCGCCGCGCAACGTGTGCGCGGAAGTGGCAGTGCCGTGTCAACGCCGCGCATGCTTCGTCTCCGCCGCGCCTATCGGAAATCGTGCCGCTCGCTCCCGCCCGCGTAGCTCTCTTTTCGAGAAGTCGTCGGACATGGGGCCGCGCGCAATCGCCTTCCGATTGCGAGGTGGGGGCGCGTTCCGATCCCAATATCGAGTTGCGCCACGTCACGCTGCACTGCTGTGTTGTGCGAGGGGAGGGGTGGGAGAAGACGGGGCCTTCAGGCTCGTTCGACCTGATTGACTATACTCCTGCGCTGCTCTGCTCTACTCTGCTCTGCTCGTCGTCTCTTCCCTACTCTACTCTACTCTGCTCTACTCTGCTCTACTCTGCTCTGCTCTACTCTACTTCTGAATTTAACGATCGTCAGACGGCTGTTGGGACGACATTGAGATAGCCACAGGAAGCCATCGGAGCTGCCAAGGAAGCCATGCGGACACAGAGGAAAACATGCGGATAGCAGAGGAAGCCATTCGGACACAGAAGACACGTAGGGATACGATGGAGGGGGTACCGAGGAAGCCATGCGCAACGGAAGTCATGCGCATCAGAGGACGCGTGTAGCAACACAACACAAGGGGGGTGCAAAGGAAACCATGCGCAACGGAAGTCATGCGCAACGATAGACCCCGTGCGCGACAAAGGGCTCGTGCAGCGGGAAAGCCGAAGGGGGTACAAAGGACACCATGCGGAACGGACGCCATGCGCAAAACAGGGTGCCATGCGCAACAAAGGACGCGTGTGGGGGCAACATATGAATGTGAGGGGGCCGAACGGTCATTCATTGTCCCTGGGTGCGTGGCTGAATAGAGGATCCGTGGTGAGGATTCTGCTTGTTGCGTTGTTGTTGATGATGATGATGTTGTTGTTTTTGCTGCTGTTGCTGTTGCTGTTGCTGTTGCTGTTGCTGTTGTTGTTGTTGTTGTTGTTGTTGTTGTTGTTTTTTGTTGTCGTCGTCCCACCCGCGACCCACCCGCGACCCACCTCGCTACCCACCCCGCGACCCACCCTGCGACCCACCCCGCGACCCACCTGCGACCCACCCCGCGACCCACCCGCGACCTTTCCCGCGACCCACCCGCGACCCACCCGCGACCCACCCACGACCCACCCCGCGACCCACCCGCGACCCGCCCGCGACCCATCCGCGACCCACCCGCGACCCACTTGCGACCCACCCCGCGACCCACCCCGCGACCCACCCGCGACCCACCCACGACCCACCCCGCGACCCAGCCGCGACCCACCCGCGACCCATTTGCGACCCACCCGCGACCTACCCACATTGGTTGAACAAAAAAATCGGCGCCTGCGGCGGGCTCGTTGTATAGTTTGTGAAACGTTGGCTTCTGCGGCGGGCTTCTCCAGAGACTCGCACACTGCCGACGTCCCCACCACCCCCTCACTCTTATCCGCATCTGCGGGGTGCTACGATGGGTAAGGGGTGGTACACGGGACCGATCCTCTAGGGATAGATCTAGGACTCCTATAGGCAGGCCTATAGGGAGAACGCATGCCAAGATTTCTGCGCAACCAACATTGCAAACTTGCGAAGCCGAAGGTGGCGGGCAGAAGCCCTGTGGCGTAGCGAGGCCCTTGCTTGGTGGCAGCCCGCTCTTGACTGACCGTGCCAGTGACCCTGGCAGCCTCGACGCTTCCAGGGGAGGGACGTAGGGGAGAGAGGGTGGAAAACGCACGAGGAGGGGAGGGGCGAGGAAGGAACAACCACACTTGTGACATCGCAACAGAGGCGGTCGCGCACTGCGCCCGTAAAGCGGAGGCACTGCCAGGCGAATTGCGCACCAACCGGCAGGGGACAGAGGACAAGAGAACGAACACACCCAAATCACACACCCGAATCTCCGACGACATGATCTCTTTGAGACGCCGGCCCATGGAGCCCTGCACCCCTCCTCCGTCGCGACCGGCCTTCTTCCATCCTGGGAACGGCCTCTCGCTGCGGAGCACTGCGGAACACCTCCGGCACGGTCTCTGTTTGAAGTCGCCACGGGGACCTCGGCACTCTTCGGGCGTTGCCAGGAAGTCCCCCTGGCCCAGGGTGTGCTCCCAGGATCAGGCTGCCTCCTCACAGGCTGGCCGCACCGGCCACTTCTGACGAAGGTCTTCGTGCAGCGAACGCCCTCCCGCTTTCTCCCGCCCCCCGCGGCCGCTCCCTGGCCCCCGCCCCTCTCCTGCAGCCGGACAGTGAGTGCGTGCCCGAGCCCAGCCCACTGGAGCGCGCGTGCGGATCGCCTCTGCCGCGCTGCGGCGGACAAGTGTGTTCCCAGGATTGGCACGGAGGCCCCCGCGGCGAAGCCAACGCAGGGGACGCCTTGGGGCAAGGACACCCTGGGCAACCCCCAAGCTCTGCGGTCTCTGCCGCGCGCCACATTCGCCCCGCCCCCCTCCCCCCCAGAGCGGTGGGCCGAGGAGGCGAGGTCGACCCCCGCGTCTGGGGGGGTGAGGCCTGCTGGCAACATTGCCCGACGCAGTCTGTGTACAGATGCGCCGGTGAGGCTTCGGGTTGCGCCCCCCCCCCCCAGCCGGTCCCTCGTCACTGGAGCCTGTGTCTGGCCGCGGCTACGACGACCCTCCGGCAGGCCCCTCGAAAATGCCAAAGACCTCGAGGTCTGGCAAGGCTTCGGGCTGCGCGCAGACAGCCCCTTCACGTAGCCCTGGCTGGCCCCACCAGGCACCCCCGGCTAGCCCGCGGAGGTTTCTGAAGGGGCCCTGGGACACACAAATGAATAGGCACAAATAGCAGGATTCCCCATATTTCCTCATATTTTCTAGGTTTATGTCTTCCCCCCACTTCCCTTGTTTGCCCATGCTTTCTGGGGGTGTGTGTTTTTTCCCCTCCTGAGTTTCAACATCCCAGCCCTGGGGCGCGGACCGCCCCAGGAGGGCGGCCGCCGGAGGCGGCGCCAGCGTGTCGAGAACGTCCCAGGCAGCTCGCTGAGCATTCTCTCAGGGTGGAGGGCGCAAGGTGAGATCCATAAGGGCTTTTGCACCTCGAAGGTCGATCCGTCTAGTGATTCACCTTTTGCAGATTCCAACCCCGAAAATCCATCGGACCGGCATTTCAGATTTCACCCTTTGGGGCTGTCTGTGCGCAGCCCGGAGCCTTGCCACAATACACCCTCTCTCCTGCCCTGCCCTCCAAATCTCCGCCTGGTGTCCTGTCCCCCCCCCCTTCCTGCTGAGCGCCGGCATCCGACGCCATGGACAAAACAAGACGCCGTGAAAACATCACCGTCATCCTCCCCCCATGTTTCCCAACCATCCTGTGGTGTTGGGTCCTCGTTTTGAAGAGACGGTCCCCGCGTTCCTTCCTGCCTTCTTTCCTTCCTTCCTTCCTTCCTCCTCCCCCTCCTCCCTCCCATCCCTGCTTCTGCCCTCCGCATGTCTTCGTC